CCCCAGTACTGTTCGCCTCATTATATTTCACCATAGGTGTTTGAAATTCTGACTGTAAATTGAGATAAAAATCATATAAAAAAATAATATAGTAATACCCTTTTTATAATATAGTAATACCCTTTTTTTATATGATTTTTATCTCAATTTGCAGTCAGAATTTCAAACACCTATGATTTCACTCCCTATGTCAACATGTTTCGCACCAAACCAGTCTGTTTGCATTCTTGTTACAAATCTGTATTTTTGGTGCTTTTTTTACAAACAATAAAAGAGAATCACTGCTGGATTAAAAAAAGGCTAACAAAATTATTAATGCAAATTTTAATCATAATTGAATTTTACTTGTTCCTTTTAGGACCATTGTATATCCAAATTAGAATCATTGGGATTCCGGGTAGGCCAGAGTCTCAGTGAAAGGTAAATATTACTTACGTACATTAGATTCTACATCTATTTAAATTTAAGATTGAAAATCTTTGTGTTTGTATTAATTTGACTTTCATCTATATATTCCAGTTTCTTTGACTGGAAATCTTAAATTTCTTGTACTTGCTATAATTGTACATTTACAGGTACAAATTGTTACTGATATAACAATGTCGGTATTTGGCAAGGCCAGTGAAAGCCACCTGTTTGTCTGGAAATCCAATTTAAAGCTGTTAGTGGTCATGGTGGGGATGGTGGTTGTGGCAATAGGAGAAAATTAAAGATACAGCATTTTTTTACTTAACAACAATTATCGAAAAAATGTCAACTGAAATTAATGATTCTTGACCTGGATAGAAACCTGCAAATTGGTCATTATGATAGCGGAAACCTTAGGACCAAAATTAAACCCATGTGATCTGGCAGGTGACCCATACCTTTTCACATTCAATCAGGGAATCATACCCCAGCCATCTTGATGAAAGGCATCCTCAATATTCCAGAGGTTACACTCCTTTTTCGCTCTCTGCACCCCTGGAATAAGTCATAGCAAAATTGAAGGCATATGGGACTAGCTATTTGATTGGTCTTGGTAAAAAAAAAAAAAAACTTGACCGAGCGCTAGGCTGATACCTGTCCTTTGAAGATCACACAGGATCCGACACCTGACTTCAAAGCCAGTCAATTTTACGCGTCCATGAGATTCTTTTCATGTGTATATGAAAGAATCAAATTGGTCTTATTGTTTCACCCACAAGTTGAAGCATGCTGAGCCTTCATTTTTGCTATGACATATACCAGGGGTGCAGAAGGTGAAAGTGGGCATAACCCCTGGACTATCAAGGATATGGATGAAAGGCAAGTGTGCTATCCACTGCATCACCCAACCATCCAGAAGAAAATAATATCAGTGTAGGGAAGTTTATATAAATCCAAAATATCTTAAACAATTTCAGCATTATAAATCATTTTGAAACTTTCTAGGTTTACAAAAGACTCCTCAAGATTTAAAGATGAGCTTGACACAATGAAGTTTATATGTAAAGACTTTTGGAATTCTGTTTACAAGAAACAAGTAGACAACTTGAGGACAAATCACCAGGTAGGTTAATTTTATCAATAAATTATCTCCCTGACATTTACATTTCAACAAAATTTAGTGTTTTCCAACATTATAATTTTATTGATTTATGAAATTTCTCCTAGTCAATTCTCTTTAAACTCTTTACTCAATCCTTTTTGTAAATGATTCAACAATGGATTTCTTTGATGACCTTTTAGCTCACCTGGTTCGAAGAACCATTGTGAGATTATGACGTACCGCATCATCCATCGTCATCCGTTAGTCAAATTTTCCTTTAAAATGCTACTAGTCCCTAACAACTTTATGGATTTTGACTAGTTTTGGCCTGGACCATTCTTAGGCAAAGGGGACTCCATTTCTTATAACTGGAGGGTGTGGCCCCTCTAGGTACAGAGGGTCGAGGCCAAAAAGGGGAATTTAAGGTTTAAGTCTTTATTATCTTTTTCTTCTGCCTGGAGCATCCTTTGGCAAAGAGGACTAACTTTTGTATAAATGGAGTTGTGGTGTCTCTGGGTGCAAAATCGAGGTTTAAATCTTAAAAATCTGTCTTCTGTACCATTGGAGGGATTTTAACAGAATTAGGTCAGTAGTATACATTGGCAAAGGGAAAAGTTTGTGAGGATGTGAGTAGGGGGGGACAAAGGGATGGAGCCCAATAGGGTAGATTAAGGTTGATGATTGGAGTTATTCTAACCAAACTTGGTCCAGAGCATCATTTAATTTGGCAAGGGGGACTCAATTTGTTCTAACAGAGAATGTACCTGCCGTCCCCCTGTGTCCAGTAGAGGGAACATAGTAATAAATGTTTAATATCCTCTTTCTTTCATTTTATTTGGAGGAATTTAACCAAAGAAAATTGTGTAGAAAATCCTAAGGCAAAGGGGACTCAATTTTGTATAAATGGAGGGTTGTTTTTAGGGGGCAGAGGGGCTGGATCCAATAGGGAAATTGAGGTTAATGTTTAAAACCCACCACAGTTCATGGGGGCAGAAAGAAGGGACCTAATGTGGGACTGGCGTTGTTTGGAGACAAAGCCAATATTTGGAAATAGTTGCAGTGTTATTATATATGTAATAAGAATGGTATTCCATGGTTGCTTTATTATCCAGGTAAGCGATACAGGCCCTCTTGGCTTCTTGTTACATTTTTACACTAAATAGAATTTTTATAGGATGCAGATCTTGATTTTGAGTGACAAAAGTGTTTCATCCATGCATTAACATAAGAATTATGCTGTTTGTTTTAGGGTGTGTATGTTCTTCAAGACAACAAATTTCGGTTCCTTACACAGATATCTAGTGGGAAACAGTATATGGATGCAGCACCAAAGGTATTTCATATTCTGCTTATCTTATTCCAATGAAGATGGCAAAGAAATAGTAACATAATGGGTCATTTTTAGCCTCTAAAAACAGTCAAAATACCAATTCTAATTTATTTACCGATTTCTTTTATAAACATTATATTGGGTAATTGGGGCTGTCCTTCCTGGTGCAGATTTTTGTCACTGCACATGCATAGATGCCCGGCCACAGCAACAAACTGGTGTTGCTATGCCGAAATAGTCAAAATATGATGCTTTTAGAGAGTTAGCATGAGTTAGTGAAAGCCTCCACATGTGACAACTAAAGAAATCCTTCTTAGTTCTATGAATTAAAGCATGGTAAATTTGCTTCAAACTGGCCGATTTGCTACGTAAATAGCACACTATAAACAACATTCACGCATTCTGTTGGGGAAAATGAGGGTTTATTATGTTTGTTATATTCTCTTTGGCAGCCATGCCATACTTTCTATAAGTTGTAAAACGTATTTGAAATCACATATATGAGTGTCCTTCATTTATCCAGAATATGAACATAACAATTAATCTAAATTCCTGATGAGGACGGAGATTGCCTTTAACTCCTCTAGTCCTCTAATCAATTTATCTAAAGTAAATGAAAACTATTTGAGATTGCTTACAAAGTCTCATTGAATGATGTATTCGAGAAAAATCAACAGAGAGCAGTTTCTGACCTAGGCAAAATTCCAAGCAGGAGTAGTGTTGATGCTTCTCTTAAACACATGGAGAATACTTGATTCTTTTGTGTAAAATAGTATAGAATGTACAATGGTGTGTAGTGGTAAATGTGTACTGATACATGTATGTACACCAGAAAGTATGGTCTGTAGTCATACTTTCCTGGTTCATAGGTCATCTTCATTATGAGATGGACCTGTGCAGTAACATGACCTGACTGAACTAATAAGATTGATAAAAATCTGGTTCAAATGAAATCCTGCCCTACTGTGAAGGCTGCCATCAGTGCTCATGTCCTGGTGAAATTTCATCTTAAACACATGTTTTTATAACCAAGTGTTTTGAGGGCATCACACTAATTGGTCAGAGTAAATAGTCACCAGAGCTTGTGGTATAGTCCGATTCTCATTTTCATATTGGTAATTACTAATTAGTAATGTTCTTTACTGTATAGTGTTCAGTGAAACTATAGAGAGAAAGACAGAGGGAACAAACTTGGAAGTACTATGCTTACATTTCATGCTATCTGCTTTTTATAGGTATATTAGTCAGAGAAAAAGTTAGGCCAAAAGCTAACATTTGGCAAATGAAACCTGTAAATATTTTCATACATTGTTATCCATGTCAAAGGGAGCAGAAGGTTTTACTTATAAAGGGATGAAATATTCTTGTTTTCACTTTGAGTAAATTAGTGTGAAAATATTGCATGAATACTGGTAGATAGTTTTTAGATAAGAACCATTGCCACCACAGTACAAACATATCCACACAGAATTTCCACTTTAAAAATACAATTATAGTTTACAAAAAAAAATGACCACATGTACAGCTGTACCATATTCTCCGCAATAAGTGCTGCTTCTCCAATGAATGCCATTCCCTGCTCTATTTACACCAAAAGGTTGGTTCCTTTTACAAAGCTCCTTCCAGTTACACCTACGTGGAGTACATTACACTCAAACAGGTCATTTAATACTGGTGGCTGCTTTATCCAGGTTCTGATAAATTACCTACGGTAGTGCAATTATTTTAGAAGCCATTCACATGTTTATCAAGTCCAAAAAACAATGTAAACAAATTTTAAATACAAGGTTATACAATACATAGAAGTAGTATCATCAGTGAGAAATAAGACAGTAAAAAGGCCTGTGAATACAGTATATATATGTAAAAAAGTAATAAAAAAAGGAAAGTAGTATTTTTCAAATGTTGCAGCTACATTTCTCTTCTTATGATTATTATGTGATGATCTTTTTGCCTAGTTCATGTTTTATATCAACACATCTGAAGGATACACAAAGTGTTCACACGATTAAACTAATACACAAACATTGATCACTTACAGTAATGTTATACCTAGAACTTCAATAACGTCATTACCTCCCTTTATATGTTTGTTTGTATAACACCATAATATTTTAACCTAGACATAAAAGTAATTGCCTGAAGATGGTTGCAAAGCTTGAAAATACTAGCAACGATTAACTCTATTTATTTGTCGATTTTGTATGTCTTTATTAATATATATATATGTATATGAATATGTAAATATAAATATGTATTAGTTTTAGTTATTGCTTCATCCATCTTGATATACTGCAGAGCAAATGTTTAACAGAAAACATATGGTATAATAATTTATTTTACTTTCTTTGACCTAGTGAATTAGGGGTCTGGTATTCTGCTACCACTGGCCCTCCACCATTGGGTCGTGGGTTCGAGATATATGTGGGGACAGTCGCCAGGTACTGGCCGTAGGTCGTTGGTTTCTCTCCGGGAACTCCTCCACCACCAAAACCTGGCATGTCCTTAAATGACCATAACTGTTAATAGGACGAAAAACACTAACCAAACCAAACCACCACCTGCCCATCGTGAAATATATTATACTGTCATGCTTAGTATGTATACTTGTGTTTGTAATTTTAGTACTTAGCCTTTCCTTGTGGGATGATAAGAGGAGCTTTGTCCAACCTTGGAATCAACTGTGTTGTGACAGCAGAAGTCAGTGCAATGCCAGCTTGTAAGTATAATGTTGTGCATGGTCAGAGAATTACAGCTATTTTTCCTGGCTTGATTAATACTAAAACAGTATGCTGTAAAATTGATTAGTTTACACTGGCCATTAAGGAAATTAGACACAAATTTTCATCAGTCCTAAAACCAAACTGCTAAACCCCGGTCACTAGTCATGTGACTTTTGTTGCCCTGAATCACAGTGAAGAAATGTATATCCTCTCAGACATTTTAAAGGAATGCTGGCCTCTTAAGTAATTACTTCGACCCTGACCTATAAGTTTTGCATTTGAAGCGCAAATCTGTAGATGGTAAGGCATTTTGTGCAATAATGAAGTAAAGTTGGGAAGGTGCAAAAACTAGAAGTTTTAGTTTTGAAAATTACAAAAATTTGCGTGTTGATTACAGAAAGGCAAGGTCTGAAGAAAGAATTTTAATATAACACTTACCACAAGAGAAGGTTAATATAGTCTAGTATAAATGTATCAACATATCTGTCAAGGAGTAATCTGAAATGGCCACTATGTTCTCAAGTTAGCAGAAGTATTTCAAGTATTCAATCTTATTAAGATGACAGAAGAATACTGGCCTGAAGGGCCTCTTGTTTTCAAAGTCAATATCTTATAGCATTTGGAAATTACGTTGGTCATTTCATTCCTAAAGCTATGATAATATACATACAGGAGGAGGAAGTGGTTATAGGGACAGCTAGGTTTTCAGATAAAAAAATAATACATTTGGGAAAACAAATGTTAACCTCCTCTCAAGTATGTCCTACAACAGATGTCATGAAGGTGGGACATATGCAAATTTATTGTATATTTTTGTGGTCCAGTAACATGAGCTCATTAAGGTAAGCACCTATTGGTTTGATCGTGTCTCTCAGGTTAATTCTGTTGATTATCAAAGTGGGGACAGGCAAGATATGCAATTCCACAGTATTCTTGTATGTAAATGAAAATATATATTGCCATTTGATTATAATGACTTTTATTTTTTATTTTCATTCAGGTAAATTTCAGATACAGATACAAAGACTTTGAGACCTGATCAATGATTAATGTTTTGATGCACCAGGGACATGGATTTTTGTCCGAAATATCGCCCAAATCTTCGACAGAAACCTGGATAAATGAGAACTTCATTTAGGTCCCATTCACATTGTGAAATATTTCCATTACTGAAGATATTGAAATTCTTGCTGCAGGGGGTGGATTGTGTATACATTTTGCACACTATTTGCAACATGTTTCCATTCCAGGATAAAGTCTTTTTGTAACAGATCTTAAATATTTGTACTGATTCATATATAGAAAGCATGGGTGAAACAGTTAGGATCAGTTTTCACTTTAAGCTCAGGTTGGTGATGTACAGACCAAACAAACATTAATTGATTTGTAGGATTTTATTTAACGTTTATCATGTATAGGTTTTAGAAATAAGTATTAGTATCATTCTCTCAGTTTCACTCGATTACAATTCAGTGAAATCTGTCTAAATTGCACATCAAAGGGACTCGCGGGAATTTTCTTGTTTACAATTGACATCTTTATTCAGACTACACATACTGGATTGATGTGCAAACATTAACGGTAAAACCCGTTATAAATCAGTCCATTTCATATACTGTAAAGGTAGAAATTTTCATAATGGAGAAATTTTTGTTCATTTCACTGTCACTTAATGAGGATGAAAACAGCATTGTCCATGTTAGACATGTAGTTTGAAAAAAAAAAATTATACTCTACAGTAAATAGTGCAAATGAATTTTGATTTATGCTTTCAATGCTGGACATGGAAATGGGGCATGCTTGTTAACACTCACGTCATGAGCAATCATTTTAGTATTTAGTAAGTGTAAATGGACATTCTATAATAGCTTAGCATTAAAAAACAAAATAACATAATAAAATTACAACACATCAATGGAAAATAGTATATACATGTAGATTCATATTAAAAAAGAAGCTGTTTCATATGACATTAATGATTAAAGAATGATGAAGTTATTGTCACTAAACCTGATCCACGTGATTATTAGAGTTGATAAAAAACTACCATTAGTGTTGAATCCAAGGTTCCAAGAAACCCCCAAATGAGGGGTTTTCACCCCCAAAACGTTGGTTGTTTCCCTATTTTCAAGATTTTCCTCATATAGCCAAGTACCTAGGGGTACAGAATCTTGGAAATGTATCATATATGAATATGCACACGTTTTCTTAAGAGTAATGAAGTGATGCATGTGTTATGGCTGGATTTGAATCATTAGATACAAATGTTATCATTAGAGAGTTGAATCAATGTATATACATGTTATGAATATCATTTTTGCATCATATAAAATGAGTGAAGAAGAAAAGTATTCAAATTTGTGTTTAAATGCTTTGAGCAATTACTATGGTAGAAAGGAAGTTGTGTGTTACTGAAATGTGTGAAAGTGTAAGTAACAGGATATGTGCAATAGATTTATGGATGACTAATCAATTAGCATTGCTATTTAGGTGGGCCAATTAAGTTGTCCTCGTTCACATCCTGTTTAACATAACTTTTCATTGGTTGATGAACTAACCAATGAAAGGTTATGTTAGAAGGGAATAATTTTCGCTGCTACAGCTTACTATTCATTCCTTTGATAAGTTTGTTTGAAGTACGTTTTATAGAATAAATCATCTACTTGATCATGAAATGTGTTATGTAAGTGCATTGTTTTTTTTCAAATTTTATATTGGAATATGTTAATTGCACGGAAACGAATATTGATAAAGTCTTTTCATCATACTAGAAAGATTTAATATTTGATTTACCTTCAGTTGGCTATCTTAACCAATATAATCCTCAACTTTTGATTATTTTTGTGTGCAGTTGAAAATCATACCGACCATCACCAGCTTAATCCGTCTGCTTCGTATTTACTGCTCACCTTTCGTTGTGGTGGTTTATTTTTAAAAAAGAAAGTGCCTGTGGTGATCGTTACATTTAAATAGATGCGAAACAGTCAGACGATTGATGGAATGCAATTTTAGGTACACAATTTATGCACAAAACCAATTTGTGACCAAGTGTCATTTATTCTCCACCAAAAAATCATTCTCATATCGACATTCATATCTTAACACTTTTGCTCACGCAGGTGTCAATCATCTATATGCAGTCAGAACACACTTAATGATTGCCAACAGACATTCCTAGTGACGACAGAATCATGTGATAGTAAATACACAGATCCGTGCCGTTACTAAAATGTATTGCACAAACAGGTAAATATCACAGATTCGCATGTTACCTTTACAAATTTACAGACGAAACCTCATTAGATATTTACATATGTAATTAGTTGGTATTTGAATGTATATAATTAATTAGGCTCCACGTGTAATGAATGCAGGAACACACCTTGTTTGTATATGATACTTTTCCAAATGCAATTAATGTTCAGAAGTTATTATAATTTCGTGTAAACCCCGACAAAACACCGTTAAGGATGTACTCTTCTGAGGTTTCAGTCACGTTCAAGTCTCGTTTTGATCTGGTGTAACGGGTTTTTGTAATATTTAACAAATTATGATAAGTATAATAGCAAACACACATCTAAAAAACATGTAAAAAAAACTAGATGTCTGTTGTGTGTAGAACATTTTTTACAAGAATTTTTAAAAAATGACCAATTTGGCGGCCATTTTGAAAAAGTGTATTTATGTGAATTTCTTGCGCTTCACAAAGGGCCAAAATTCACCTTTTTTGACACTAGATTGATCACTTAAATTGTCATTGTGTCACCATTTTTAATTGTAGCAGGTTCAATTTTGCTGTACAACTTTATAATGTTCAATATGATCAAAATAATATGCAAAAAAGTGGAAAGTTATATATTATTGATATTTTTTTTTACATATTAGGGTAACTGAAGCACTTTTGATTTTTGACCCCGAAAAAGGTGAAAAATAACACAAATAATAATGGGACAAAAAAAGAAGCACACCGACCCCCCATTTTTGTGGCTGTTTTAGAAAGAGAAACTCATTTTCTTTCGATTCATTGAATACTAAAAAAAGTTTATTACAGGATTTTTTTATATCAAGCGTTTAATCGGCAAAAAATGGTGAAAAATGTGCATTTTTTCATTAAAAAATAAGGGGTAGGGGTAACTAAAATCGCATTTTTGAGTAAAATGAATAAGTTTAAGACATTTTACTTCCATAGTTTCAAAGAAAATAATATTTTTATCAATTCTACAAACATTCATACATATCTGATAACACACTTGGAAGAAATTGTATGAATTTGTTCTGCAAATGGTCAAAACCCGAAAATTCACCTAAAATCACATATTGTGTTAAATTGGTATCTTTGACCGATCATAGCACAAAAACGAACACACCGACATATAGTTTTTTTTGCATTTTCTACTATGCCATTATCTCCTTTTTCCAAAAATCAATATAAGAAAAAAAGTTTAATACAGGAATTTTTTGACTTCTCAGAGGTGTACATCCTTAATACTGTCTCGGTGAAAACATGATGCTAGTAAGTCTGCATGCACGTGTTAAATGGAATATTCAGACTGTATGCTATTGATTTGCAAGCTCCAGCGGTGAAAGCCTTATACACGTGTGACTTCCTGGCCATTGGTGCCGTTGACCTTTGACTCGGGTTCGTCTTTGTCGGAGCCTTATACATGTGTGACTTCCTGGTCATTGGTGCCGTTGACCTTTGACTCGGGTTCGTCTGTGTCGGAGTCGGAATCGTCAACAATAGAAGTGCATCTATCGCAACAAAACATGTTCATCACTCTGTCGACTGGTTCCAGCGACCGACAGCAAATAGGCAACCATTTCCAATTCTGGAGCTTTGTAGGTAAGATGGAGGGTTTCTTTACTTGTGTAATCTTAATTATAACGACGATAACAAGCAAACTGGCGATCGGAATAAGGACACCCGCCATGACCTTCCACCCAGCCATTGACAAAGCGAACACCACGAGTGGAAATAAGAAAAACATACAGACCAAGTACATTATTGCAAACCATCGATATTTTGACGTTTCTTTACCCAGAAATTTAGCTAATGGTATTGGGAACCTTAAGAACGGTATTGGGTAGAACAGAAGAATTCCAGAGAGATTGAAGAAAAGATGACAGAATGCTACTTGTAACGGGTTTCTCATCTTGTCCGCATCTTGTGCTAGTGCAGCTAGGATACCTGTCGTGGTTGTTCCTATATTTGAACCTAGCGTTAGTGGATACATTCTTTCAAGACTGACAACTCCGACCCCGACAAGTGGTGTCATGGTAGACGTGAATATGGAGCTGGACTGTACTAGTATTGTAAGACCACAGCCGACAATGATAGCGAGGTATCCGGTGAAGTAGCCGCACCTTCCAGGAAACTCGTAGTTTATGAATCTTTTGATAACTTTCCGCATGTTTCCTTGTAATATTGAATTCAGCAGCTTGACGATAACAAACAGGCAGAAACAAAGAAGTATCAGAGAGGCCACCAGCAGTATACCGCCAATCTCAGAGTCGCTCAGAGTGGTGTCTTTGAAAATATACTCGCCTGTAAATAAATTAAAAAAATACAAATGAAAGAAATACTAAGCTCAGATATGTTTTGATTTAGTTAGAGCTTTTAAGAATCAGATGTTCGATCTTATTGAATGAAGAATTAGCAACTTTACGCAAGGCAATTTTCGCGGCAGTGATATTGTCACGGTTTGACATTTTACATTGTTGACGGAAATTTCTGAGTAATTACACTTGTTTTACATAACCAACAAATAATCTTGAAGCCGCGCGAAATCAAAGCTGGACAATTAGGATGTACAAATTCGATTCGAAGTTTTTATTTTATTTTACACATTACGCAATAACCGTTGATGAAACATCAGGAGCGTGTGTGGGACATATTAATATTTGTTTGGATGAAGCCAGTTTGAACGAAATTACAATATTTTGGAAGTCTGGAATTTTTGTTACATTGGTAAAAATCAAGTTGTACTGACGACAATGGAATATCCATACAAGGTGTTTATCCATCCTAAACTTCTTGCCTGAAAGTTCTAAGTTATTTATAAGAATATTGCGATATTAATAGGCCAAAATTTTACCAGATTTAACCTTTTTTCGCATGTTTTTTTTTTTTGGGGGGGGGGGGGGGGGGGGGGGGGTCGTAAAGAGTTTCCCTTATCAGAACAGATTTCAAGTTGATTACGTTTTATACAATATCAATAATAAGAACACTTCGAACAAGGTCAGTATCTCAGGAACCAAAGTAACAGTTACTATTCTGAGTGACACTTAATTTGCACGGGAACGGGGATATTCATATCTATAAGACGTTTTCTTTTAAATAATAAGATAGCCCCCCCCCCCCCCCCCCCCCCCCCCCCCCCCCCCCCCAAATTTGCTCACGAAATATTGAGCCAGCATTGACCTGTACTTACACTCCTGCACACAAATCTTTTTTGACGGCAATGTGTAGCTGGTTCCGTTTACAAACGTTTCATTAAAATTCTGAAAGGTTTTCGACTTGCAACAAGTTTTCAACAAAGTATCAACGTCTTGGTTTTGTGCAACCTTTTGTATCCCTTTCTTGTCGATCTGAAATAGAAAGAGACGGCGATATAATCAAAATGTGATAAATTTACGTGCAGATGTTACCAAAGATAAGATGTGTATGACCTAGATATACAGCATACCTGGACGATTCGCTTCGTGAATGGCTTGGTTATTACTTTCAGGAAGTCTTTCTTGCCATCAGCATATGCCTCCAACGCTAAGCTGTCCACGACGACCTCGGACAAATGGAATAGATAGCCTGAAAATCAGTCAAAGTTACCGTGTAGTGGAAATATAAGCTGGATATTATACTTCAGGTTTTATTTTTGCGATTCGACTCTAGAATATGAAAGATAAATACTTGATGGTTTAACATTTGGCGATATATTATAAAATCGATCCTGATGATCAAATATGCAGGTTTATTTGTAATTTAATAAATAACGTAGTTCACTGCTATTGTCGGATGACTCCATGTCTTTAGCCACTGCTGCTGTAGAGTCTATGGATAGAAAGGCAACACACCTGTCTCGCTTTATGACCAGGTATACACAATTTCTTTGTAATTTAGTAAAAGATTAAATAAGGTGCCTTTTTATTTAAAGTAGCCGGAAGGGGAAATGATTTAACATGTAAAAAAGGCACCCTATTTAATCGCATGAAGTAGCATAGCTGCATGTTGATAAAACATTCCCCATCGATAAATGTTGATAAAACATTCCCCATCGATACATGTTGATAAAACATTCCCCATCGATGCATGTTGACAAAACATTCCCCATCGATACATGTTGATAAAAACATTCCCCATCGATACATGTTGATAAAACATTCCCCATCGATACATGTTGATAAAACATTCCCCATCGATACCTGTTGATTAAACATTCCCCATCGATACATGTTGATAAAACATTTCCCCATCGATACATGTTGATAACATATTCCCCATCGATACATGTTGATAAAACATTCCCCATCGATACATGCTGATAAAACATTCCCCATCGATACATGTTGATAAAACATTCCCTGGTGCATTAAGAGCTCAAAAACGAACGAATTTGGTTTAAAGGATGAACTTAAGACACACAGATGTGATTGTACCCGTAACATTTGATAATTGACACAGTAGGCCAGACTGGATGAACTGCACTTCATTGTACAGCTGTTTCGTCTAGGACCTATCGGCGATTCTATATGACAAAAACATCGGGGATCCAGAAATGCATCAGCAGAGTTTAACACTTCGTACTACGTATCTTGAAACATGAACGTAAGGCACATAAGTGATCGCACCTTAACATTTGGAATTGAATTGAAATGAATTACAGTTAAAAACGGGACAAGAACATTCTACTGTAATTAACAGCAACCATGAACTTAAATCATTTCGGAATCATTTGGTAACAAAATGCTTATTAACAATGTTCTGCTGTATTTTTTGTTTTCAAACCATTTTTGTAATTTTAATCTCGATTCTTTAAACGTTGAATTCGATGAATTATATATCTTACTCTTTGCTGTGAAATTTTGTCGGGATCTATCCGATTCTCTCTTACCAATTTAAATGCTAACGAATAACTGACGTAAACTATATCAACCTCACCCGTTATGATTTCCAGTGGCAAGAAGACGATGACTGTCATCCAATTAAACATGTCGTGGACGGTTGCCCCTGCGAATGCTCGGCGGAACTCCCTCCTGTTTGTGATTTGTCCCATAGCCACGATTGTGTTGGTGACAGAGGTACCGATGTTAGCGCCCATCACGATAGGGATGGCCGTTTTAACATCCAGAACTGTAAATATGTTCATGTACAGGTCTATCAGTTCTTGGTTGCACGAGAGTAATTAGGGCCCCGTATCAGAGATACGGGTGCCCTATAGTAATCACTCTGTCTGTCTGTCTGTCTGTCCGTCCACAAATTTTGTTCCTGGCTGATAACTTTGATATTTATTAACCGATGTACATGAAACTTGGTCAAGATGTTCAGTTCACAAAAATACACATTGAGGTAAAAAGTCAAGACCAAATGTCAAGGTCATCGGGTCAGGGGTCAAGGTCAAATTTGTATGTTTTCACTGGTGAACATTTTGCTATGACATTATGAAGCAATGTTGCTCAGTGTTAAACAAGGAGTCAATTGACCAAAGGTCAAGGTCACTGGGTCAAAGGTCAAGGTTAGATTTTTACCTTTTCCCTGATGAACATTTTGTTATGACATTATGAAGCAATGTTGTTAAGAACTTAACACAGAGTCAACTGATCTTAGATCCAGGTTACGGGGTCCAAAGGGTCAAGGTCAAGTTTTGTATTTTTCACTGATGAACATTTTGTTATGATATTAAGAAGCAAAGTTGGTCAGAATTAAAGAATAACTCAACTGACCAAAGATCAGGGTCACTGGGTTGGTTAATGGTCAAGGTCATTTGGTCCAAAGGTTAAAGACAAAGTGGATCTCTGACTTTGACCCTGGCTCTTGATGGAGGAGGTATATTAGGTGAAATAAAACAAATCAAAGCTAACAAATGAGTATTGCACCAGTATTTACATCTCTGTTAGCCCAGCAAATATGGAGGTGGAAGGAAACAAGACTCGCATCATAGTACATGTACAATGTATATTTTGCTTCCTTGTGATTCTTTTTGAAGTCCAAATGTCAAAGGTCAAGCTCAGCTATATGGGCAGATTGCTTCTTGATGATTATGGGGGATATATTGGCACAAGACGGGGCCCTTACTGACCTGTCAGTGTTCTAGTTAATTTCTTAAACATATCGCTTATTTCGTTTGTGTTTTATTCTATATCTACATATATTCACTGCTCAATGTCGAGAATGATGTTTCTAATAAAACACAATAAACGAAGCTCTGGTTTTTGTTAGATATTTGCTGTTATCAATTAAAATTCTGCAATTCTGTACCGGGAGAAGACGTTCGTTACAATAAGTCAGTTATCTCCAGGGTGACTGCATTCTATTGACCAAGTAAAATCCCTTAGTCAACATAAAAAGGAAAATCAAAGCATACGCTTATATGAAATGTACCGAACATCCATAACAAAAAGTTGGCATTTATTCAGCCTCGCATTGATATCGCGGGATGATAATATACGTACGTCCAGCCCCAACGAGTGATACGACGATGGACGTGCTGGTGGATGAACTCTGGACCAGGACAGTAGATAGAACACCTATCATTAGTCCAGCCACGGGGTTCCGCAGGATCTCATTGTTCTGGAAGACTTTTCCTGCCGCCTTACCTATACACAGAACAAACAACTTAACATGACAATAATAAATCTACTTCGGATGCAAAAACTAAAATAGAATTATCAAAATGTAAACAAATCGAAAACAGATACAACTAGGATCATTGTGAAGAAGGAAATTTTACATAGTGCCATAGACTAAGGACATGGATGATATTGCCATGATTCCGGAAGGGTCAGCGACTCTGTGATACACACAATATAAATCTGATGAAAAATAAACAAACAAACCAATATTGAAGTGTCAACAAGACAACTTTTCGAACTCAAAATCGATAAAACAAGAACTTTATATTAACAAAGGAAATATTTCATAAAGACCATCAACAAAATACAAGGATAATGCAACCATGTGTATCGGAAGAGAAAGCGCAAGACATGGTGATAAACCTAACTAAAAACTGGACAACTTCAGGACATTTTTGGTCACTTGTCTTAATTCTTTTTAGAGTTGTTTCGATAAATTCACCCTCGTATGGAAACAATAATGAGATGGACACGATTTGACGCAAAGGTTACACTATACCGAGGACTTTTTCAATATCATTACAATTTCTAAAGAATGAATGTTGCTCTTTCTATCCGGAAAAGATCCTAAAACGTAAATATAACGAATGACGGCTACATTTCCAATTGTGATGTTATACAACGCATGCTTACCTCCAAGGAGTCTGAATGCCGAGGACAGAAAATCCAAAGAGCAGATGAATAAGTAGAGGAATGCGAGAAACAATATGAATTTAAGGATGAATAGAAAAAAGAGAATACATCTGCTGCTTCTCCTTTCGTCGACATCCTGTGGATAAAAATATGATTGATAATTGGTATGTTACTCATGAAATACTGTTCAAAAGATGTCAAAATGGCGTGATTTTCGCTATCTTCTCTTATCATGTGATAAAAATGATCTTGAAATCGTTTCCATTTTACGATTTATGTATTTCGAAACAATGGTGTGTTGTTGTGCTGGTTTCTTTTGGTTCGCCTGAAGCTCGCTTAAAGACTTCGTTTCATAATATTCAATGAACTGGAAAATGTAATTTCTAAATACACTGTACAAGTAATATATATATATATTGTATGGGCTTTTGTCCTGACATCACTGTCATCGAACTACCTCATGTATTTCCTGCTTTATTGTTTTCCAAACTGGACATAGTTGTGGGAAAACGCGTCATTGGATTGTGAACGCAATAAACAACGGTCCTGGAGCGTTAACCGCATAGCCCCAGGCTTGAAACAAGGTATGTGATTCATGGCTTGTAGGTAAACGTACATTGTACGATAAACATCATACATATATATAATAAATAACGAACAATTCGTTCTCCATTATGTTTATTTTTATTTATAAAAATAAAAAATAAAAAGAATAGGTTTGATGTTTGGATTTAGAATATATGCTGTGTTGTCAACAAGCTGGAGCGGATGATGCCTCAGTAAATGGCTACTTCAATATAACACAGTAAACATAGAAAATAATTATGTATGGATTATTTTGTGTTAATTGATACTGAACTATAGACGATGGTTATCAGATAATTTGTTTGTGATTTTTTGTTAATCCTCAAGTATATATGTACTAAAAACTATCGCTGAATTACCATGTTGTGTAATTTGTTCATGTACGTATTTATACATTATCAAGCTTATTTTGATCTTATTTATTTGAACTATTTATTTTGTCATACTAACAAAATTGATTTTCTTGGAACATGTAAGAAATGAAAATGTTTACCGTTGTATATAAAGTCGTATAGACCAGTTAGTAGACATTACCTTGCTTTCCTTATCCTCTAAATCGAAGGTGTTGGCCGCCATCGCGGTGTGCTCCCGAATGTCTCACACGAGACATCCTGTCAACCCGACCAAGGACTCATTGTTAGCCTCAGGCCATCCACTCTTGACATATCTATGCCAGCGTACATTTCCTTCTGGAAAATCTGAAGGTGTGCATAACTTGATTAATATGATATATAAAAGGATTAACGTATAAATGATATCATACGGTCATACAACTATTAATAAAATTATCAAATGACGTTATGTTCAGAGTGGGTTTTCAATTTAATGCAGATCAACAAACATGTAGCAATCCTCGACCTCTCTAGTTTATATCGAAAATTTGAAAGCAAACAACCAGAAATCAAAGATAGTACACTTAACTATTGTATTATTACACGTAATATACTTTGAATTTTATTTTGTAAATGCATTATAAGGTAATACATTGAAAGCTTTATGTCGTTGATACTCAGACAAAACTAAACTATAATAAAAGGCAACAATAGTAACTAAACAGACATAAAAACAAAGGAAATAACAGAGATGATTATTTGTTTGCCTTATGGAAAATATTGCCCTTTTTTTGTCATGGCTTTCATGAAATATTTATCGAGGCATTTGTTGGTACAAAACAACAAGTTACTTTGTAAGACTTTTTTTATCTTGTTCGTACAACCTTACAACAGACATTTTTTTCTGACACTTATAGCATTCACACTTTTTAAATTGTACTTTTATTTAGCATACATTGATACAGTTTTACACGTATCGATATGGAAATAGAGGCCTAAAAGCCTGCGTCCATCATATGTCCACAACGGTTCAACGTCAGCTCACAAAGACAAGAAAAGACAGATTCTGCTCCCTTTCTCAAATGTTTTTTCGAAGTCGGTCTTTGTTGGTAAACATAGGAAAATTCTAAATTTATCGACAGAGAATGTTAGTTTGTAGAGGAATTCCATGACCTCGGTATTGCCGTTGCATATTTTCCCACTTACACTTCACATTAAATGTTAAAACAAAGGAAAATAATATTTATTTACCTTCAAATTAGTAACTTAAAGGAAAACAGCGTCACCTAACACTGGTCAATTTATAGTAAACTATAGGGAAACAGCGTCATCTAACACTGGTCAATTTATAGTAATGTAAAGGAAAACAGCGTCACCTAACACTGGTCAATTAACAGTAAAGAAAAGGAAATCAGCGTCACCTAACACTGGTCAATTTATAGTACCGGGAAACAGCGTCACCTTACACTGGTCAATTTATAGTAAAGAAAAGGAAATCAGCGTCACCTAACACTGGTCAATTAATAGTAAAGAAAAGGAAATCAGCGTCACCTAACGATGTTCAATTTATAGTACAGGGAAAGAGCGTCACCTAACACTGGTCATCTTATAGTATTGTAAAGGAAAACAGCGTCACCTAACACTGGTCAATTTATAGTAAAGTAAAGGAAACAGCGTCACCTTACACTGGTCAATTTATAGTAAAGAGAAACAGCGTCACCTAACACTGTTCAATTTATAGTAAAGAAAAGGAAAACAGCGTCACCTAACACTGGTCAATTTATAGTAAAGAAAAGGAAAACAGCGTCACCTTACACTGGTCAATTTATAGTAAATTAAACGGAAACAGCGTCACTTTAAACTGGTCAATTTATAGTAAAGGGAAACAGAGTCACCTAACACTAATCAATTTATAGCTAAGCGAAACAGCGTTACCTTACACTGGCCAATTGATAGTAAAGTAAAGGAAAACAGAGTCACATACCACTGGTCATCTTATAGTATTGTTAAGGAAAACAGCGTCACATAACACTGGCCATTTTATAGTAAAGGGAAACAGAGTCACCTAACACTGGTCATCTTATGGTAAATTAAATGGAAACAGTGTCACCTAACACTGGTTAATTTATAGTATAGTAAAGGAAACAGCGGGACATAACACTGATAATCTTATCGTAAAGGGAAACAGCGTCCCCTAACACCAATCAATTTATAGCTAAGCGAAACAGCGTTACCTTAAACTGGTCAATTGATAGTAAAGCAAAGGAAAACAGCGTCACATACCACGGGTCATCTTATAGTAAAGAGAAACAGCGTGACATAACACTGGTCATCTTATGGTAAATTAAATGGAAACAGTGTCACCTAACACTGGTTAATTTATAGATAGTAAAGGAAAGGAAAACAGCGTCACCTTACACTGCTCAATTTATAGTAAAGAAAAGGAAATCAGCCTCCCCTGACACTGGTCAATTTATACTAAAGTAAAGGAAACAGCGTCACCTTACACTGGTAAATTTATAGTAAAGAAAACTAAAGCAGCGTCACCTAACACTGGGCAATTTATAGTGAATTAAATGGAAACAGCGTCACCTAAACAGCGTCACCTAACGCTGGTCAATTTATATTAAAGAGAAGCAGCGTCACCTAACATTGGTCAATTTATAGTAAAGAAAACTAAAGCAGCGTCACCTAACATTGGTCAATTTATAGTAAAGGGAAACAGCGTCCCCTAACACCAATCAATTTATAGCTAAGCGAAACAGCGTTACCTTACTCTGGTCAATTGATAGTAAAGAAAAGGAAATCAGCGTCACCTAACGATGGTCAATTTATAGTAATGTAAAGGAAAACAGCGTCACCTTACACTGGTCAATTTATAGTATAGTAAAGGAAACAGCGGGACATAACACTGATAATCTTATAGTAAAGGGAAACAGCGTCACCTAACACCAATCAATTTATAGTAAAGCGAAACAGCGTCACATAACACTGGTCATCTTATAGTAAAGGGAAACAGCGTCACATAACACTGGTCAATTTATAGGGTCATCTTATAGTAAAGGGCAAAAGCGTCACATAACACTGGTCAATTTATAGGGTCATCTTATAGTAAAGGGAAACAGCGTCACCTAACACTGTTCAATATATATTAAAGAGAAGCAGCGTCACCTAACATTGGTCAATATATAGTAAAGTAAAGGAAACAGCGTGACATAACACTGGTCATCTTATAGTAAAGGGAAACAGCGTCACCTAACACTGGTCAATTTATATTAAAGCGAAACAGCGTCACCTTACACTGCTCAATTTTATAGTAATATAAAGGAAAACAGCGTCACCTAACACTGGTCAATATATATTAAAGAGAAGCAGCGTCACCTAACATTGGTCAATTTATAGTAAAGTAAAGGAAACAGCGTCACATAACACTGGTCATCTTATAGTAAAAGGAAGCAGCGTCACCTAACATTGGTCAATATATAGTAAAGTAAAGGAAACAGCGTCACATAACACTGGTCATCTTATAGTAAAGGGAAACAGCGTCACCTAACACTGGTCAATTTATAGTAAAGCGAAACAGCGTCACCTTACACTGCTCAATTTATAGTAATATAAAGGAAAACAGCGTCACCTAACACTGGTCAATTTATATTAAAGAGAAGCAGCGTCACCTAACATTGGTCAATTTATAGTAAAGTAAAGGAAACAGCGTCACATAACACTGGTCATCTTATAGTAAAAGGAAACAGCGTCACCTAACACTGGTCAATTTATATTAAAGCGAAACAGCGCCACCTTACACTGCTCAATTTATAGTAATGTAAAGGAAAACATCGTCACCTAACACTGGTCAATTTATAGTAAAGTAAAAAAACACAGCGTCACCTAACACTGGTCAATTTATAGTAAAGAGAAACAGCGTCACATAACACTGGTCATCTTATGGTAAATTAAATGGAAACAGTGTCACCTAACACTGGTTAATTTATAGATAGTAAAGGAAAGGAAACAGCGTCACATAACACTGGCCATTTTATAGTAAAGGGAAACAGAGTCACCTAACACTAATCAATCTTTAGTATAGCGAAACAGCGTCACCTAACACTGGTCAATTTATAGTAATGTAAAGGAACACAGCGTCACCTAACACTGGTCAATGTATAGTAAACTATAGGGAAACAGCGTCACCTAACACTGGTCAATTTATAGTAAAGTAAAGGAAAATAGCGTCACCTTACACTGGTCATCTTATAGTAAAGGGAAACAGCGTCACCTAACACTGTTCAATTTATAGCAAAGTAAAGGAAAACAGCGTCACCTAACACTGGTCAATTTATACTAAAGTAAAGGAAACAGCGTCACATAACACTGATCATCTTATAGTAAAGGGAAACAGCGTCACCTAACACTGGGCAATTTATAGTAAAGAAAGGGAAATCAGCGTCACTTAACACTGGGCAATTTATAGTAAAGGAAGGTAAAACAGCGTCGGCTAACACTGGTCAATTTATAGTAAATGGAATAGAAACACCGTCACCTAACACTTGTCAATATATAGTATTGTAAAGGAAAACAGCGTCCCCTAACACTGGTCAATTTATAGTAAATTAAATGGAAACAGCGTCACCTAACACTGGGCAATTTATAGTAAAGAAAGGGAAATCAGCGTCACCTAACACTGGGCAATTTATAGTAAAGGAAGGTAAAACAGCGTCGGCTAACACTGGTCAATTTATAGTAAAGTGAAGGAAATCATCGTTACATAAAACTGGACAATTTATAGTAAAGTAAAGGAAAACAGCGTCACCTAACACTGGTCAATGTATAGTAAAGGGAAACAGCGTCACCTAATACTGGTCAATTTATAGTAAAGTCTCGGAACACAGCGTCACCTAACACTGGTCAATTTATAGTAAACTATAGGGAAACAGCGTCACCTAACACTGGTCAATTTATAATAGTGTAAAGGAAATAGCGTCACAAAACACTGGTCATTTTATAGTAAAGGGAAACAGCGTCACCTAACACTGGTCAATTTATAGTAAATTAAATAGAAACACCGTCACTTAACACTTGTCAATATATAGTATTGTAAAGGAAAACAGAGTCACCTAACACTGGTCAATTTAGAGTAAAGAAAAGGAAATCAGCGTCACCTAACACTGGTCAATTTATAGTAAAGGAAAGGAAAACAGCGTCACCTAACGATGGCCAATTTTTAGTAAAGGGAAAGAGCGTCAACTTACACTGGTCATCTTATAGTATTGTTAAGGAAAACAGCGTCACCTAACACTGGTCAATTTATAGTAAAGAAAAC